AGGGAGGTGGGACAAAATAGTGATCAAAGAAAAATCTTCACTCCGCCTTGATGTACACAAAAAGTGAAGACACAGAGACAAAGACCCAATCTTCGCCCCACTACTCACCACCGCCATCGAGAGTGTGAAATCATTTGTTGCTGGCCACCCTCGTGAGCAAAGCACTCCACTCACTCCATACTCTTCACCGAAGCACCACACCGACTCCAAGACCCAGCCTGCAATCACTCATTATGCTTGATCAACAAGAAAAGGGGCTTAAGAATGACCACATGTATAAGATCATTATTCAAGGCTTAATCGATGGGGATGCCACACCCAACAACTCAAACCCTAATCATAGCCCCAAATATGTGCCGTCCTACAGCCTCATGAATGGGTGATGAAGGGATATCAGTGAGAGCTATCTACGATTTGGCAGAAGGGGATCCTATAGTGCCAATACCCCAGAACGTTTGTCACACCATTAAGGCATTTACTACTCGGGAGATGATCAAAGACACAGGAGGTTTAATAAGTCCTCTAGGTCTTTTAGTTGCGCTAATGCATGAGAAAAGTTTAGGGGAAGCATCACCCCGGGCTGGACAGTTGCGACTCTTGCCTGAAAGAGTGTCTAACTATGGTCCAAACTTTGGATGAGGTCAATATGTATTTCCACTGAACTGAACTGCACAAGGAAGACTGTGAAAGAAGATAAATCTCACATTTCTGAGGATTGGAACGAGTGCATTCAACCACTTGTAGATTCTGGTATGTTAAAGTTGAACCCCAAAAGCTTTGAAGTTAGAACATTATTTTGCAGCAAAAAGTGGTTGAATGGAGTGAGTGGAGTGCTTCATTTTCAATCTCAAGAATTCGACGAGCTTCAGAATATGGCCATGTGTCCTTTGGTGTTGATCAATTTGGTCATATATTCACGCCTTGTTTTACGAACTACGATGATAGACTATGGTGGCTTCTTTCCTTCACAATCTTTATAGGCTGCATTTGGATGCAATGTAAATCAAGAATCAATGAAATTTTACATTGATTCGGTTTTTATATGTGATTGGAAAGAGGATGTAATTATTATTGATGTAAAACTATACTCTGGTTCAGTTTTGTATGTGTTTGAATGGAGTATAGTTTTACGTTGATAATCAATGTAAAACCTCATCAACTCTAAAGTTTTAGATCGATAATTGATGTAAAAATTACACAACGTAAAATTTTACTCTTCCACTCATAACTATTTTCAAAAAAATAAGTCACTTTCTGATTTACATTGATTCCAAACGCAGTGTAGGTACACACATTCAATTTGACTTTCCTGCATTGCTTTATTTCGATTTGTAGTGTATTACTTTGTCTTGGTAAGTTTCTTTTTTTTGGTCATATTGATACATGCAATAATTGGGTTTAAGCTTAGTTCGGGATCCTTTGTACTCTGCCTATTTGAAGATCGTTTATTTAGTATCCCCTGTTTCTGTGTATTCAGTAGGCATCAGTATTGAAGATAATTTCCTGAGTAATTAAATCTGGTTCCTGTTTTGGTTTGAGCCTACAATCAGATCACAGACAAATCCCAGATACTAATGCCTTTGCTTTGATAATTTTAACCTTCCCTAGAAAGTAATGGATAATTTTAACCTTCACATAATGCCATTTGCATCTCTAAACATTCCCACTATTACTGATGATCCTGGGTTATGAAAAGAGTTCCCATCAAAGTTCAATTTGGTCTTATTGTTATCCCTCCTTTTCAAAATAGAAGAACAATTTTACACCTCATACTAGATGTTGCCTATTTAACCCTTGTTACAATCTAATGTTGATGGTGATTCCCTGGTTCAAAGATTTAGTACCGTTAGTCATCTCTGCATGGTCAAATAGGGAAAATTCATAGAGTTTTCATAAATTTCGCTTAGGAATTTAAAAACTGAGAAAATTGGGAATGACATTTAAATATAAGAGAAAAGAAACATAGAATTTACTTATGAAACTTCGATAAATGTTAAAAGTGGTATAATTACACAATTAATTCCTAATACAGAATAACAGACCACTAGTCGACTATGTACAACAAATGATGTTAAAGATTTTAAACATACCCGGTATTTTATCATGAAGAGTTAATAACTTAATATCTTCAAAAGCCAACAACTAATATAACCCTTATAACCTTATTCCTTTCATTGAAGGTTCTCTAACATCATCTCTTTCTTGACCTCTATGGCAACAATATTAGATAAAAACGTTAATTATTAGTAATTATATTTCTGCATAATTATTATAAAGAGTTAATTATAAGATCCTTGATGTACATGGGCTGATGTAATTTTTATCTTATAGAATTGCAATACTAAATATTTCTCTCAAAAACAGAAAAGTAAATAAATAAGTAAAGCTAATTATTTGATTAAAATTTAAACAAAAAGTACTTTATGTCTTCAAAAACATAGTTAGAGTTGCCTAGAATAATTAAAAAAAAAGCCAAAAACCTTTTTCTTAACTTTATTCAAAAAGTCGTATGAGAATTCTCTTTACATCTTTCTCTTTTGATAATGGACATAATTTTGCTGATATCAAGGCCTTGTTCACTTTTCGGTAAGTTATTTACCCGGGTAAATGCAATTACTTGGGTGAGCTTTTCCTGAGAAACAGTTACCCGGGTAAGTGCATTTACCCATGTTCTTTTATTTCTCAGGTAAATAAGGTAATGACCATTCTAGTATTTCCGGTCAGCTTTAGTTCAATAATTTCTCAACCTGGCCAAGTTGGAACAATTTCGCTTTGGCCATTTGTAAATCAACTAGAACCAAATGACTTGGCCATAAATTATATATATATATATATATATAATTTTTTTAATACGAAAAAGTGAAAAATGTCTCATATTTCTTAGTCTAAAATATTTTATATCCTAAATTTAGTTTTTAAATTTTATTTTTTAATAATGTCACTGTAATTTTTTAAGTTTAAATCTTTTGAACCAGTCAACCAAATAAAAAAAATGACCCAAAGTGCTACAACCCAACTTGTCTAGTTTTCACTAATGGTCAGTTAGCTTCGAGTGACCAATTACCCAACCTGACCAGGTTGATTTGGTTGGCCAAACAGCCTACGACCAAACAAAACCAACGCATGAACACTCCTAATTTCAACTAAATTAATACTTTAATATGTCTCTAATAAACAATAATAGTTTAATCTCCAATAATTATTGAAAATTTATTGCAAAAATACACAATTATGGAAAATATATTAATAATGAAGATACAATAAAAATAAAATAAATACTAAAAGTATATTAAATTAGTCAATAAATAGTTTAATCTCTAATAAATATTAATCAATAAATTATAACAAAAATACACTGAGTACAATAAATTAAACTTAAAAAGTTAAACAACAGTAGTTTAATCTCCAATATTTATTGAAAAAAAAATCTGTTAAATAAAAAACAAAATAGATTTATACTTAATTATTGAAAATATATTTATCACAAAAAATAATGAATAATTAATTAAATACAATAAATATTAATTTGAGTATATATTAATATATAATAAATATATATTATGATTTTAAAATTATTATTAATAAATATTATTTTTTTGAAAGTTATTTTCTAGAATTGTTAATTAATATAAGTAAAATTATTTATTTACAATATTATTTAATTATTTAAATAATCTCATTATTTAAATTTGAAAGTATTAATTATTTATTGATTTTAATAATCCATAAAATTATAACACAATTTCGTTACTGATTTTTTTAAATATTAAATTATTATTAATTTGAATATTATGTTATAATCATTTTTCTAGTTTTAAGAAAATTTTTAAATTTATTACATATTTCATTATTTTAACTATTTAAAATACAATTATGTTATATTTCGTTAGTTAAAATATTTAAATAATATATATAATATTTAAATTTTTTTTGTTATTTGAATTTCATTTCTATTAAAGTTATTACATAATATTAAATATTTTGTTATATAATCATTTAGCTATTTTTAATATTTTGTTATTTAAGATATTTAGTTCTGAAAATATTTAAATAATATTTTATTTTTTTACTATTAAAATTCTATTATTTGAATAACATTTAAGTTGAATAATACGAAAAACCCTAATTTATATTGTTAGTACATAATTTCATGATGTATTTTGTAAAAATATAAAATTATTAATAATATGAATATTATTAATTCGATTATAATTATTTTTGTGTTTTTAATAAATATTTTGAAGTTATTATATAATTTTTAGAATATTTAAATAATTTTTAAATTTTTTAATTCAAACTTTCTTTAGATAGATATAGATAAAAGTGGGGAGAGGATAAATAAGTATTACTAATTAGAGACAATTTAGGAGAGTAGGGGATAATGGGGAAGGTAGTTTAGGACAAATTTTAGGAAATGATAGAACGTGTGCGTGTGTAGGAGAGAGATTTTAAATATTTTTATGGGGAAGGATAGCATCTCATTGGTTGTTCAAAAATAACATGAAATAAAAAAAAATCAAAGAACAAAAAAAAAGAGAAAATTTGTTAACTGTTGTGTTTGTGTGTATGTGTAATATATATAGATTATTTAGGTTATTGAGAATGTGTGTATGAGAGAGAGAGAGAGAGATTTTAAATATTTTTTTATGGGGAAGGAGAACATCTCATTGATTGTTTAAAAAATGATATAGAATAAAAAATTAAAAAAAAGAAAAAGAAAAAATTCTGAACTGTTGTGTTTTAGTATATATAGATAATCTTTTCATATATATCACGTTGATTAATATTTGGCCAAAAACCTAAACTTGGGGAAATTTCACCGACATCTAAAACAAAACTACTCTATTTGACAATAGCATGATGTCAGAAAACAGTGAAGCCAGAAGGGTTGAATCTTGAACACCTGAAGGCTAAAAGTCCTGTACTGGTGAACCAGTGGGTGTCTATTGGAGCACGGTGGATGGAACCAAGACCGTAAATGTGAGAACCAAAAGGTCAAATTAAGCTAATAAGAAATTAATCATCATCATATATGAACTTTAGCAAGCATAAAGTTTATCGTGTCTGTAATGGACTGACCTACACTCTTCCACTTGTAAAGTAAAATTACATCCCATTCTAATGCCCTCTCTTATCCTTATCCCTGTTTTAAAAATATTGGCACATCCATTGAATACAAACTTGTCAATGGCCTTGCGACAACGATTTGGCTTTTGTGCAGCAAAGACCTCTTTCACAAATTATCACCAAAAACCGTGGACAGCAACAGCCCCTGTACAAACTCGCATCTCCGAGACTTCTCCTCCTGGTCCTTATCCGATAAAGGAGGTGATGGTTGAGCACTTCTGTCAGCAAACATTAGTGTCAGATTCAAGTGGAGCATAAAGAATACCCCCGAGTCTCTGATAAGTGATAACGCATTCCACTATAACAGTCATATCGTAGCAAAATCAATTTCAATCGATGGCTCAAGGATAGGATAGAGCCAGATACAACAAAATATTGAAACAAATTTACATGCCCCTCGACACACACGCACACAACAACTACAACAAAGGAAAAAGAGAGTACAAAAATAAAGAACATGGAAAAGAGTTCATATGCAGGCAACACAGGATCGGATAGGATAAACTATTCACCGAATCCGGATCTGTAGTCTAACAACTGTAGACTACATTGTACACCCAAAAAGAGGCCACCACCTGTTCTCTACACAAGTGGTGGTTTCCTCATGATATAACTAAGGGATACCACAAAACATCCACTAGGGTTAACTTTCTCTTCCCCCTCTCAATAAGTTTAGGGTTTTAAGAGCAAGAGAAAGGATCCAACTAATGGTGGTTGTGGAACTAGTTCAGTGCTTTATGCACAATAAGGCTGTTGTATAGACCTGAGATTCTCCATTACAAGTATTGTAGATAGGGCTGTTAATCAAACCGATGAAACCAACCAACCCGACCCGAGTTGGTCGGTTTTCTAATTATTTTGGCCAATTCTGGTTTAATTTTTATGCTAACCCAAGAGGTGGGGTTGTTTTGGTTTTATCATTTATAAGCCGACCAAAACCAAACTGGCCTGACCATAGATACATTAATATTTTATACTTTACGTTTATATTTTTTAATATGGAAAAGTGAAAAAATTCCCATATTTTCCTAGTTTAAAATATTTTATATCTTTAATTTTTTATTAAATTTACTTTTTAATAATACAATTACAACTCTTCAAGTTTAAATCTAACTTCTAAATTTAATTTTTTAACTTTCAATTTTTGAACCGACCGACCAAACAAAAAACCAACCCAAACCAATACAACCCAAGCTGACTGGTTTTCATCATTGGTCAGTTTCAGTTGACTAACTTTCCAACCCGACCAGGTCGGTTCAGTTGGCCAAATAGCCTGGAATCGAACTGAACCGAACCGACCCATGAACACACCTAACTGTAGAGGCCTCATCGAGATCAATCGTTGCCTGATCAAACTTTTGAACCAGAGATTCTCGATTACAAGTTCTTAGGTCTATTAGAAACCTCTCACCTCTCGGCATTAATTGGTTGCTGTTTACTGGTTTTTGAAGAAGAGATCTAGATTTTTTTATATCTTTTATTTCATTCACCGATCAGATACAGGCTTATGATTTTTACTTTTTGGGAAGTTGTTTTTGCTTTGGATACACAGGCGATCTAGTCTGTGCACGGTTTTATGGCATGGAAGATGGGACAAAGTCCTTTGCTGACTTTTGAATCTTCTAACTGGGAATTATTGGGTAATAGGTTTCATGAATGAATGAACTCCAAAACGTCACCCTTTTCTCAATTGGAAATAGTATGTTTACTCTCTCCTGCTTTGGGTCTGTTAGTGGAGAAGTCAGCCAGTGTTTGGGGAAGGAGACTTAGGTCTGTTAGGAAGAAGAGGAGAAAAGGGAGGGTGAGATAACTGTAAGGATAGCACATTGGGTGAAAACCTTAAAGCTGTTTGCTGACTTTAAGGTAGAAGACTTCTTCAGTTCGTGGGGAACAATTGCTGACCCTTCATCTAGAAGACACTTGGTACATGAGGTTTGGTCTACTCCAGATGCTGGGCGGAAGAAATTAAGCTTTGATGGCAGTTGTTTGGACAATCCTAGTCTTTCTGGTATTGGTGGGGTAATAAGGAAAGAGGATGGAAATATTTTAGCCATGTACTCAGGTCCTGTTCAGCATGGTGATGTGGTGAGATCAGAACTGATGGCAGCAGTGTATGGAGTAGAAAAGGCTAAAGAATTGAGGATTGACAGGTTGATTATCGAAGGGGATTCAAAAATTGTTGTGAGTTGGCTGAAAAAGGGGGGAAGGAGTAATATGGAAGCCAAGGAATGAGTTCAGGCAATTCAAGCAGATATCTAAAGATATGTTGATCCAAATAAGGTGGATTAGGAGATCTGCAAACAGCTTGGCTGATGGTTTAGCTAAACATGGAATTCAGAGAAAACCTATGTTGTGGGCTGTTTTTTAAATAGTGGGATAGTTTCTTTTGGGCTTCTTGCTTTAGCCCACAACTTCTTGTCGTAATTGCCTTTTAATCTAATGAATTAAATTTTGTGTTGCTAATCAAAAAAAAGGGGGAAGATGAGAGAGGTTATGATGTTTAAAAAAACTGTAAGTCACACAATGGTTTATGGTGCTTGTTAGTCATTACACGAAAGGAGGCCACCACTCATGTAGATAACAGGTGGTGGCCTCATATTGGGCCTACAGCGCGGTCTACCACTGTTAGACTACAGAAGATCCGGACTCCTATTCAACATTTACATTATTTATTTGGTGGAATACCTGACATTATCTTATCAGACAACCCCCCTCATAATTCTTTCTATTCCAGACTAAAGCAACTTCCTTCGAAAATATCTCCAAATCACCTAACATTGTTTGAGTTTAATTGCAGTTTTCCCAGATCACAAAACCAAACCTCCAAGACGTCCTTACAGCTGAACTGAGCCTTAAATCCTCATATCATTTCTATACTTCTGTTTCCTAGGCTATTACAAAATACTCTCCAAGTTTTTGTTTCTTTCTGCATGCTCCAAAATGTCTTCACCTCTTTTCTCCCTTCCTCTTTTTAACCCCTAAAAATAGTTATGAATCCATAGAAACAAAACAAATGCAGTTTTAAAAATATAACAAATCTCCCAAACAGAACACCAAATGCATAATACACCAAGCAACTAGATTTCGCCAAGTACCCAAACAACCCGAAGTTACCTAATACTGATAATAAGTAAAAGATTATAATCCCTTGTATTATCTCTTGGAATCCACCACCATGATAGATGAATAACTCAAAACTCATTTCCAAGCTGTACTTGAAGAAAGGAGAGGCTAAAGCTGATGGAATTATGTATTCCTCAAGGGCAGTTCATTGTGTGGTACATGAAAAGACTTGGAAAGAGTGCAGTGGCTGATTTCTTTGATGATTTCTGCATAGTTTATGAGCTAGGGATTTCCAACTTGATAATACGAAGTGATTCAGCAACCACCATTCCCATGGTATTCATTATGTTGAGTGACAGTAAAATGTGGGACTCTTGCAGTAGACATATACGAAGGCACACACTCACAGACTATAGAGTTGAAACTTTCTTGCTAGGGGTTCATAGGATTTCATTTGGATAGGAATTCCTCCATCAGAAATAAGGCCACTCAGCTGCTCCTTTTTGGAGAAACCATAGGAAGAGCCTTGCATAGAGATAAATGGCCAGTACTCAAGATGTCAATGGATCAGGCTCAGTCCAGTTTTAACTCAACCCAAACCCGAGCCCAAGGCACCCCAACCCGAACTGGTATATTATGCATTTGGAGTATTACCCCTAGGAACCCACCACCTTAGTCCGAGGTCACCCCTTTCTTTGAAAAACTAATGATGTTGTACCATCAAGTATCAACTAGACAGGATGACTAGCTTATCAAAAAACCAGACAGGTTAACTAAAGTGATCACTCATCTTCGTATGAACTGTATCGGGTACAAGTTAAGCACCCAAGAAATAGCTATAGGAAGGCCTAAAGTTACATGGATTGAGGTGGTGAGGATCTAAAAACTTGCAATTTAATAATGAATATGGCCCTTGATTCAATCAACTGCCAAAATAGAATTTGCAAAGCTGTATATGGCTGGGATAAGTCTCTGTTGAGCTTGAGTACATATCAACATTTGAATTGCTTTTCAGGCACCTTATGAGGCATGCAACTTCAACAATTAAAAATCTCAAAGCTTGTCAGTTAATGGTAATTATCAAAATTTCAAATGGAATTGGGGCAGCAGACTACCTACTAAGAAACTGGTAAATTATCGATTCTTAGTTTCAGCTATAAACAAGAATTGTCAAGATTTAAGCTATAAACCAACAAACTTGGAGATAAGTCTTAAGGCATCATGGGGCATAAGCCTCAAAAAATCATCATTATAAATTTTATAAAGAAGATGGCTGGTATTTTTTTTCTGATCAGCAAGATGACTGGTATTATTTCATTTGAATATGTATTTTAGAGGCAAATAAAGACAGTTAGTGTGGGCTAACTAGGGATCAGATGTACTGGGCCCATTTGTAAATTTGCTATATTTCTTTGTTGAAGAGTGAGGCTGCACCTCAGACCTCCCTGGGATGCCTGTAACAGACCATTATACTTTGCTTCTAATGAAATTTAATGAATATTATTTATCAAAAAAATAAAGACAGTTAGTATGAGCCTACCACAGGGCAACTGAACCAATCAGATGTGTCCAAATGACAAGTCTACAGATCCGTTTTATCTAAGAAAAGGGGCTAGCCATGCGGATGAGAGTATCTATTTGAGATGAAATAATCATGGAACCAACTTTCAATCTTGTTTTAATTTTGAGAAGATTTATATTTGATAAATACATATGAAAATTTTAATCAATACCAAGAACTTTGTCTCAGGGACACGGTATGCAAAAGGAAGAAGCTTCGTTCAGTCCAAAAACATTGTGGATAGACTGACTGTGTTTAAACCTAATTGGAATAGTGATTATGTAATATTGTATTTTTATAATTTATGTAATTATATTTTATTAAGAATGTATATTTTAATTAGGGAGATTTTAATTAAGAATGTATATTCCATTATTTTTTGTCACTCTTAAACCTTAATATAGTTTGATGATATTTGGAGGAATTGGATAGTTGTGGCTAGTAACCGTACCAGGAAGAACAGGATACCAGCTGTGTGGGTGCCTCCTTCCAAAGGTTAGATAAAGTTGAATTTTGATGATAGCAGCCAACCCAGGTCCTTCAGGGATAGGAGGGGTGCTGATAGATAAAGACAGCAACATTTTAGCCTTGTTCTCAGGCCCCATGAGTATAGGAGATTCTAATAGAGCTGAGCTTCTAGCAGCTGTACAAGGTATTGAGATTGCAGATCAGTTAGAGTTCAGAGTCTGCTTATTGAAGGAGATTCCAAAGTTGTTGTGGAATGGCTGACAAATCCAGGTTCAGTTATTTGGTGCTACAGGGACCTTCTGAGGAAAGTTAATTGGTTTTCAAGGAACATGACTGTTACCTCACAGTGGGTGGGTAGAACAGCTAATACCATAGCGGATGGTCAGCTAAGCAAGTGGCCTCAAGGGAACAATTGTTTTGGGCAACTCTGTAACTTTTTTGTTTTTTAGTCTGATGTAATACTGTTTTGTTGTTTAGGAGAGGTACCAGCTCGTGCCTCTCCATGGGTAGCCTGTATTGACTTATCATCTTGATCTTTCTTAATAAAATCTTATTCATTTATCAAAAAAAAAAAAGAAAAACAGAGAGCATAGAAGGAGAGGGAGCACATTTTGAAGTAATCAGAGAAAAGGGAGGAGATTCAGAGAATGGGGAAGGAAGAAGATAGCACCAAAACTATATAATAGAACTAGAAGATTAAGAGCAAAGCCATTATAGGAAGAGGTTTCAGTTTTTTTCAGTTGAGGAGGTGGAGAATGTAGGGACTCTGACGACAAGAAAGCGATTATGGATAAGATTCATGCAATTGAAGGGACAAATGATATGGAGAAGGTGATAGAGATAGGAATGAAAGTAAAGCTTTAGGGCTTCATATTCTTGGAGGGGAGGTTTTTTGCTAGGAAAATGTTTAAAGATTTGGAAGAACAATTTATCAAAAAAAAAAAGATTTGGAAGAACAATATTCAATGTGTTTGCAGGATAAAGGGAACTCTAATTTGGGTCCTGAAGAGAATGTTGTTAATTCAAGGTCAGATTTAGATCAAAAAAAGCCAAGTCCATTTAAAGGAGATGGGATTCGGTGTTGAAGAGGAGTTCGGATCTGCTCCTCACAGTGACCTCACAGCATGTTTCAGCCGTGCATCTGGAATATCTCCCCATGAATAAAAAATTACAAGTTCCAGATGCACAGACAAAATGTGCAGTGAGGTCGGCGTGAAGCACACTCTGTGAGGAGCAGATCTGATCTCGTTGAAGAGAATGAGAGGTAGTGCTGGATCAGTTCTTGAGAGTATGTGGTCCTAGAGTTGGAAAGAATCAATGATGATCAAAAGGCATTGAAGGATCTGACGAAGAAGAAGCCAAATGCTGGAGAGTCTATTAAATTATGTAATTTGTTGTAGAGTTTTTCATGTCATGTTTTGATTAGAGAGCAATGGATGTTATTTGGTGTATGTTTCCTTTGTTTTGTGGCTGGTTTGTTTTCGTTCTTTATTCAAGGGGGTTGGGGCAGTTTGATAAAGAAAGATAGGGATGAGAATTCTGTGTGGGAATGTCTGCTGTTTAGGGCTATTAGCTGGGCTAAAGCTATGGACCTTTTTTCACTTTTCTCCTTTGATGGCATATGAAGAAATTGGGAATTAGTTGCTAAAGCTTCTCCGGTCAAGGACAAACCTGTTATAACCTGGAAGCCTCCGGAAGGAAGCTTCACAAAGATAAACTTTGATGGAAGCAGCCTTGGTAATCATGGGCCCTCTAGGATTAGGGGAGTAGTCAGGAATGCAGAGGGCCACATAGTGGCTTTATTCTCCAGTCCAATTGAAGTGGGAGATGTGGTTAGTGCAGAGGTCCAAGCTGTTTTACAGGGGGCTCAAATCACTAAAGAGATGAACCTCAGAAATCTGGTCATAGAAGGAGACTCCAAAATGGTAATAGGGTGGCTGAAAGAACCGGAGACAGCAGAAAATGGGCTGGCAGACCTACTAGTAAACAAGGGGTGAATAGGGGTCAATTATTCTGGTCTACACTGGAATTTATATTGTTTTTGAGGCTGCATCTCACAGCTCTTGGGAAAACTAAATGTTGTATCAGTTGTAAACCCATCTTAAAACTTTTTAATGAAATGCTTTATCATTCATCAGAAAAAGGGGGTTGGGGCAGTTTTTTGGATGTGAAGTTTGTTTCTTTCTTCTCTTGGGTGACTGTTGGTCACCTTCCTTTGTATTTTATTTTTCTTTCTCTTAATAAAACTTTTCTTTTTATTATCAAAACTCATTAAAGATGGGAAAAATGCAAGACAGTTGAGTAACAACACCAAATGCCTAATCAGTACTCTTAGATCCCTAAGATATCCCCCCTTTAACTAAGCTTTACAATCTCTCTTTTACTCCATTAAAATTTCCTTCCACATTTATTTATTTCTTACTCCCCCTATAATCTCTCTCAAATCTCAGAGAGCATATCTTCTAAGTTTCTACTCTCTTTCCATGCCCCACAGGCCCACGTCTCTCTCTCTCTCTCTGAATATTTTATCTAAGCAAGATTTTTCCTACTAAGTTTCATATCTAAAAATCAATATTTTTATGCTTCTTTCCTTCAAGGTTCCAGTAGAAAAAGCAAGGGATCATTTCTTTTTATAAGAAACATTTGCCTCTGCCTAATTGGGGTGAAAGGTGAGGGCGTATGCCTGTTAACATTTAGACTTGGGCCTCTTATTCTTAAAAATATTAAGATGCCATTATAAATAGTTTTGGCTTACACCTGCCATTGTCATAGCAGATATCTGGGCAAATAACAAAAGAAATTAAATTTTTTTTATCCATGTTATATGGTAAACTTTTCATGTCCAATCCATGTACTTCTCTCTGAGTGCAAAAATAAAAAATACACCAATCCAGCCCTCCAAACAAACACATCCAAAGAAAAGAAAACAATATTTAACTATTTTGTCAAGGGAAATGATCAGGCTGGCAGTGAAACTCAAGTTGTTAACTACTTGTTGTGAATCTATGCTTTAAACTTTTAGTGTATTAATTTGCAGTGAATATTGCCAGGAAAATCAAGTAGTGTATTGATCATATCTTGCACGAGTCCCAACTCCCAAGGATTACTAAATAAGAATAATCAAGCAAACAGAAAACATCATGAATCTCATGTACAAGATCAAATCATCAATGTAATAACTAGATTATTAGATATTAGATAAAAATTATAAAGCAGCTAAGCAGCATTTAAAATATCAACTATTAGTAATGCAGTTCAACTCCAAGTTGTGAGGTTCCAAGAAGAAACATGACAAAATCAAATTAGCAATAAAGCAAGAAAACCGCAATACCTTTCTGATACACTCTCATATGAAATTTTACTGACTGAGCTTGCCTCAGCAGAAGAATGAGATGGAACAATTGTCGGTTCATCAATCATGGGCATATTGTAGATAAATGAAGACAGTAAAGGATCAGGTGCAGTACTGGAGGAAGAAACTACATAGGAAGAGCCCCCAAGAAGTGATTGTAAATTTCCTTCACGCAGTTCCTTCCTCAATAAAGAAAATGTTGAATGAGATCCACCTTTGCGGAATTTCCTCCTACGTTGCATGTAACTTCCAGTTAAGGAATACTGAGTGTGCGTCATCTCAACATTATAGTTATATGATAAGAATGGTGAAATCTTAGAATTGTGGAATACAGATGAAATGGAGGAACATGAATTCACAAATAAGTTATATATGACTTATTAAACATGTGAGAGAGAGGGGGTATCCTGAGAGCAGGATGAAAAAAGAGTTAAAATTTGGGAAAAAAATGTTGAAGCAAGTGATTTGAATGAAAACAAAAAAAAAATGCACAGTGACCTAGAAGTTCCAAACTTCCACACTGGTTTTCTCCTGGAACAATTAGGGGAAACAAAAAGGGAAAAGAAAGAAAAAGATAAGGAAAAAACTGAAAAAAATGAGGAATTTTAACCAGCAGGAGCCATTGCTTGGTACCACGGTAAAAATCTCGGGCTAACAGGCAAGAGAATGAAGGTTTCAACTGAAAGAAACCACTTTGGGTAGGGAAAAATGCCAAGGATTCCCAGACCCCAGATAGTCTGGATGATCTTTGGTTAAAGGCCCTTTTGTTCTTATAATTTAAGTAAAAAGAATCAATGATTAGGATTTAGCTTATGAAGACAATCATTTCTAAAGGCAAATAACTAGAATGTGCATGATTTGTAGCTTCCAGTGTTCCAAACAAATAACAAGAAATAAAATGCATTCCAAAACTACTGTCGAGTGTCAACTTGAGTTAAAAGGATATCTTGAAGAAATTGCCATGTTGCATGGTAATGTGTCCAACCATGTCCATCCCCACCCTCATTGCACATACAGGGCATACCTGCAAATACAAACAAATAACTAGTGAGGTACTTCAGAAATTAAAAAAAAAAAGCAATTTCCAAATAAATCCCCAACGAATGGAGAATTTAATTCCAAATCAAACTGAATAATTTTATAAACCAACAGCATCTACCTATGAACTGTAATATATCAACCAACTTGTAATGGATGTACCTATAAATTAATCCTAGCTAAACCCAGTTTCCCACTTTCATTAAACTTGATCAATGTTGATTTAGTTCTAGATTCAACAACAAATCCGTTCCAAATGTTAGCCAAATACGTTCACCGTTCTCATCCTCATTCAAGACAAGCTAAAGTAATCTTGAGCTTCATTGCATTGATGTCTATAAAGAGTTCTTAGTTCAAATTTCTTTTTCCCCTCCTTACTCGGTTACTCCTTTAACAGCAAAAAGGTGCACTCTGTTATACCAGCAAGCAGTAAAGAAGAAATATGCAGTTCGGAATTCTTTTCTAAAACCGTGATGTGACTACAAAATGACCAAAAACAATCACGGAACTATTGGACCTTCCAATGAAAGGAAGGATAAAATTCCCTAGCTAATTCAATAACCCAAAGAGTACTCAGAAAAAACGTCACTAAAAGAACAACAGAACTAAAAGGGGCATCCAATCGAAGGAAGAAGACGTTTCTCTAGCTAATTCTATGACCCAGAAAGTACTCAGATTTAAAATAAAAAAAAAAAAAAACACTGCTAGCTTTATACAAAAAAAGCCCCAAATCAAAAAGCAAACTAATTACTGAAAAACAAAGTTAAAGGGAAAAGAATAAGAAAAAGAGTAAGACGACATTTAGAGAATAGGTCTAAAAAAAAGTTAAAATGAACGGAAGGAAGTAAATACCCCATTTTTAGCCTCAACAGGATGCTCGTCGTCGATGTGGCAGCACAGTCCAACAATATCGAAATCCTCCGAACAAAACGGACACAGAAATTCCGCCCTTGTATCATCCTCGCCATCAATTTCTTCAAACCCGAGGTAAAGATCTGATCAATGTAATTCCAATTCAAATAAAACAAAATATATGATCAGAACCTACTCCATGCACCAGTACGAAACACTGGAGAGATCATCTTATTTAAGAGAAAAATACAATTTTTACACTTGCCTGCGCGCGATTGAAGAGCTGATTGGTAGCGTTTTGAGGAAGTAGAAAGACGACCACTCCATAAATCATCCATGGATTTTATTATAGAAATTTAAAGATTTCTACAAACCCTAATTCTGAACTCTTTTTATCACTGAGAAGGGAGTACAGAAGCTTTGTTAAGTCCCAAAATCTCTACCCGGTTAATAGGGTAAGCAGAAGAAACCCTAGAAAATATAGATGAAAAAAAAAGGAAAGAAAACTAGAAAAGGAATGGAAGGAGAGAGCTTATTAGTTTTCTAACTTTTGGCACTTTTTATTCTCCTTGAATGAAAAAGGAGTAAGAAAGAACACAGAAATCGCTGTGAAAGAAAGCTCCACCGACCTTTGTCCTTTTACAGGCTCTCTCTTTTTTATCAACGAGATGAGACGGTAAATGACCAAGGTCTCCCGCGGAATATCAGAAACGCCCCTAACTACCAGACTGCAACGCATATGACTTTAAATTACTAAAATTTCCTTGATGTTGATTATAATTACGGTTGAGCCATTACCTTGGTTTCTGTGAATCTGTTCTACCGACCGCGTTAGGTGTCCTTTGTTTTTTTAAGTTGTTAAGTTGTTAAACTTGTTATTTTATATTTTCTGTATATATATAAACTCGCAATTATATATGACGAAGAAAACTGAATAATAAAATATAAGTTCATTAAATGATACTGATCGTTGGATTGTAATCTATTTATGCAGCGTGAAACCCATATCTCATCTTTAACCAATTCATGGATCATCGTAGCTCAGTTGATAAGTTGTTTAGCCAGTTGTTCTTTAACCAATTTATGGTGATTCATCATGATAATCGGGTCTGACCTTATTAGACCCGATTCCACTATATCTATAACTATTTATGTTCATAACTTAAATTTTTTATTTTTCATAATGTATAATTTTAAAAATGAGTAAAATAATAAATTATTTATATTTTAATAAATTCTATCCAATTATTACTTATTAATCAGCACAAGATCATCACAAAACAAAAAAAAACGATATAATTATTGTCGGTTCGCTTTAATCGAATATAACAGACCCATTAACAGCCCTATTTGTTTGCTTTACGGGGAAAAAAGTGAAGAAGTTCATGTTGACTAGTAGGGGTGTAAATGGATCGAATTCGAATCGGATTCAGCAATATCTGAATTTGAATCCGATTAGAAAATCAGATATCCGAATTTGAACCTGATTAGAAAATCAGATATCCGAATTCGATTTGATATCCGATGGATACTGAAAATTAATATTTGAATTTAAATCTGATTAAATATTTGAATTCTTATTCGATTTGAATTCAATTAATTAATTATTTTAAATAATTAATAAATATATAAAATAAATATTGTATTGATAAAAAGTATATAAATATATAAATTATTTATATAACTTAATTATCATATATAAATTATATAAAATATATATAAGAATTAAATAATCGGTCGAATTAGGATATTTATTGAATCGAATCAGGTCATATCCAAATTTGAATCCGATTAACTATTCGGTAAGAATATGATATCCGAATTCGACCAATTAAATATTCGAATTATTTGAATTCGATTCGATTATGTCAAATATCGAATTCGAAATTGGATTTTCAAATACTGTTGACACCCCTATTAACCACATAAAAGAAAATCTGATATATGTAAATAGGAAGGAAGTTGTGACACCACATAACCTAGCTCAAAAAGGTAAATCTAGCAAGTCTTTTGTTTCTTTTGCTTTGAACCCCCCTTTAGCTCAACAATCTCTATCTTGAATAAGGGGCTCACAATGTATCATTGGTGTTTTGAGTGTTATGTTTTGCCAAAAAAGAAACTTCTTTTAAAATATTAAAAAAAAAACAATTCTTCACTTACTTTCTAATAAACCTAACACAGCCTTAATGTTGGCATCAATCCCAATTAACACCAGTGCAGGTGGATAATCCCCGTTTGGTTTATGGGAATAGAGGTCTGGAATTAGGGGTGTAAACTGATCGAATTCGAATCAAATTAGGCAATATATGAATTTGAATCCAATTGATATCTGATGGATATTGTAATATCTGAATTCAAATTCGATTAAATATTTGAATATTCTATTCAAATTCGAAATCGATTAATTAATTATTTTAGATAATTAATAAATATTTGATTGATATAAAGTATATAAATATATAAATTATTTATATAATTTAATTCTTATATATATATTATATAAAATATTTTATATTATATATAAGAATTAAATAATTGATTGAATATCGAATCGAATCAAGTCATATCCAAATTCGACCAATTAGATATTCGAATTATCCGAATTTGATTCAATTATGTTAAATATCGAATTCAAATTTAGATTTTCAGTTTGGTTGGATGGATCAGAATCGCATTTTCATTCCTATTGGAATAGCATTCCCTCATTTAAGGGAATAGTCATTCAGTGCCCCTCTCTTGGGAATGAAATCCCATTTCTATTGATTTCAATTTCCATTCTCATTCTTGTCTAAACCAAATAGATTATGGGAATGGAATATTCTATTTCCAATTTCGGAGGATTTCGATTCCGATTCTAACTGCAAACCAAAACGTTGATTCAGAATAAATTAAAAGAAAATAATCAAATTGTCCGTTTTATTGAAGGTTAAAGAGGAATGTTGGAGTGGCTCTTTTGTTGCCCTGACTCGATGGTGTTTTTAAGACGAACTTTTGAATTTTCAGATTAACCATCTCACAAATTTCAAATTTGTATATATTTGTACTGTTGGGAATAGTGACAAATGGGGGAATATATACAATACAAAGGGGTGATATTATTTCATAGGTGGGGGTTTTGGAAAATAATATCAAAAAAATAAATAAAAGTTTAAAAGCCCTTGATTCTAGGCTGCTTGTCGCATTCACCTCATTGTAGTCTAACTATGATAACAAAAAAGCATGATAATTGATACTTAGGCAGTGTTTGGGAGTGCTTAGTGTCTAAATGGGTTTATGAGAAAAGCCACTTTAGAAAATGGATTTTTGAAAAAGTAGTTTTTTAGTGTTTGGCTGCTCACTAGGGTTGTAATCAAATAGAGCTCGGATACCTCCACCCTAAGTTTGATTTGAATAAATATATTTAGCATCCAAATTAAATATAAACTTTGAATTGCCATAATTTTTAAAACCTTAATATCCAATAATTCCATTTCTAAAATATCCCCAAATTACCATAAGTTAATTCCTAAAATACTCCCAAAGACCCATAATCCTACCCCAAATTATATGTATTTTTAGGTAGTTGCCTCGAATAGAGAAATTTTGAGGAAATCCAACAATTAGATAAGAAACTCTATTAATATTGGAATCTGGATGCCTTTGGGGGAAAGCGTAAAGCTCACAAGGATAGGGGCCCATGGATCCCCCCAAGGATCAATGTTCCTCCCATTTCCAACACACCATGAAAGGCCCCTCTTAAGAAGATTCATGCCATATTAAATGTTGCACCAACCCCATAATTGACCATTCCTTACCGAAGTTTGTGTATATTAACTATTCAGAAAATGTATTGCTTTAAGCACCTAAGCCCAAAGGAAATGGGATGTGATGAAGGGTGATTTGGCGTGACCTAGCGAGAAGGGGACACGTGGACACGACCTGACTAAGGGATGACAGTTCAGCCTGGCAAGCCTAGTTCGCAGCATTTGAGCTCGGGTGTTCGGTCGCCTTGGTGTAGACTCACCTCGGCATTCAATCTAGTTCAGAGCTAAAGAACTGAAGTATCAGCTTGGGGCTAGCAACCCGAATCGCCACGTAACGACTCCGGAAGTTTCTCCAATAGACTCCGAACCTCACGGGATCACACCGCGTAATGGCAGGCCTTATCCTCTCCTCACCCGGATCGAGCGGAAACGATAGACTTCATTAACTGATACGTTACTCCCCGACTAAAGCGGAAACAGATCTCCTCCACTAAGGCCGAAGATCCGGAAACCGTTTCGTGAAACCCGCGGCAGCTCAGCTATATAAGAGCAACAACCCCTCCAGGGCCCAGGTACGTGTGATCACTCTACTCTCTAGCTCTCAAATTCTCAAAACATTCAGCTCGCACATACTAACTTAAGCATTGGAGCGACCTCGCCGAGTTAGCCACCCCAGGTTCTCTGATCCATCGTCTTGCAGATTGATCCAGCTTGCTGCTCGATTGGAAGCCAAATCACCCTCCAGTTGGGAGTAGTCAGATCGCGCTACATAAGGATGTAAGTGTTATTTGTTGACCAATAAGGTTGTCAATGTATGAGGCTCTGACCTGATTTGACATTCAATCCAATTATCTTGGATTCAAATGCAATGTTACATGTTAATGGACTGGATTTGTATGGGGTAAATGGTATCTATATTTTTAGGTGGTTGTCTTGGGTGGGAAAAATTTAGGGATTCCACGTCCCCAAGGGAGTGGGTGCCACACCCTTAATGGTAGTGTAGCATTCAATACGACATGGATCTTCTTAACATGGGCTTATTATGGTGTGTTGGAGATGGGAGGAATATTGATCCTTGGGAGGACCCATGGGTCCCTATCCTTGTGAGCTTCAAGGTTTCCCCCAAAGCATCTAGAGTCTAGGTTCCAATATTAATAGAATTTCTTATCTAATTGTTGGATTCCCTCAAAGGTAAGACCAGTCCCAATTATACAACATCCTTTCAATAAAAGAGGTAGCAACTATAGATAGGAATTCCCTCAATATTGACTCTTGTCTAGATTGTTTAATTTGGGGTTCCTCTAAGTTAAGAGCTTATTCAGTGAAAGAAAGTTACATCACAGCTTAGAGGGAAGATGTTAGTCCAACTAATGGTCATTTCAAAAGACTCTCCATTGATAATAGGGAGTGTCTCTAGAAGTTGAATATCCCACAACTAATGGTTCACTAGATCACCCCTCACTTCATATTTCAAAAGTCACCATGGACATCTGCTTCTTCGCAACACTATCTAGCCTTTGTCGACCTTGTATAGATTTGTGTCCCCGATTTACAACACACATACCAAAGTATATGTTGCCATTGTTGATGATTAAATGATTCTCGATATCTAGCACTCAATGGAAAAGATCGAATTTGGTACTCTATTATGCGGTGATGAAGGGTGTTCTACTGCAACAACTTATTCAAAAATTCTTTGAGTTTAGCCTTTAACTTTGGCACGTGAGTAGCACCACTATGGGTCACTATTGAAAATATCAAAGCAATAGAGATTTTGAAAGGCGATGGTCTTTGCAACAACCTCCCCTATTTCATGGTGCGACTCCAGTTCTGCCTCATGTAAGCATATTTCATTTCTAGCAACTATTTTGGGAAGATACTTCACTCAACAACAAAGCAAA